ACAGTTTCACTTTATTCTGCTCACTACTTTATATTTCATTTATTCCATCTCGTTGTGAGTGTACATGAAACGTATTTTTTTTTTTTTAAATGCAGTTCTTTAGTGAAATCAAATTCTAACATTTTTAATACAAAAATATCATAAGACTTAATTTGCAAGCGAAACAAACAAAATAGGCTTAAAAGACAAGGACACACCATGAAAAGCTACCAATCCCGACCAAGGAACAGCTGCTCCCTGGCCATAGATGTGATTGGAAGACGTGGAAGTCCCTCAATAGGCTTCGCACAGGGGTGGGGCGATGTAAATACAACATGAATAAATGGGGATATACTGACGACACAGACACCAACTGCGAGTGTGGAACATCCGTGCAATCCATGTCACACCTATTAAGATGTCCACTCCTAATTGACCAATGCTGCCTGGAAGAGCTGGTGGCAGCAAATGAGAAGGCTCTTCAGTGTGCCAAGGCCTGGCAGAGTATTTGAGGACACGAAAGAAGAATACAAAGTGTATATATCCTTTTCTTGAACATGATATTATTTATTTTTGGTGCTTGATAATCTTTATAGATATTTATCACAACTAAATTTTAGATGGTTACCATTTCGTGTTTTTTCTTTTCTTTTTACTTTCTTTTTTTTTTCTTCTTCATTTTCATTTTTTTAAATTCAGTTATGAGTTATGAGTTTTTGATCGATCGGGTGGGTGGTACATGCACGACGTTACTTATTATAGGCTCTAGTAAGCTTGGCTTGTTAGAACTCTTGTGAGTAATGTGCCGCGGGATTCCATATCCTTAAACTGCTGGAGAACAGAGCAACAAGACCAAGCTCTGTAATTATTAGGATCTCTGTCCAGTAGTGCCGTGTTTGTGCCATCGAACTGGATCGACCAAATCAATTGATTCATATATGCAATATTTTTTCCCGTAACATGAGAGTAATTTTAATAGTTTCATACTATTAATTAAATGTAATGTTAACTGTAATTGTATAATTGTTTTAAATGGGGGCACGCTACAAGAGTCCTATCTCGCACCCCGGGGCAACGTATCTGACACGGCCGGTTGTAGCAACTACTCCGAAGATCAAGATTACATTAATCTTGATCTAAGGGGACACGAACGAACAAGGACAAAGAAAATCGGGCATTAGTTAGAATTCAAATTCAAGTGAAAGTATTTAATTTTCAAACCTCTGTTAATACGCCTCCTGTATTTTCTCTGAACTGTGCCAAATACCTTCTCATCTTCCGTGCTCTGTTTTAGTGGCTCCTCAGTGGCGGATCTAGGGGGGGGGGGGGTTAGGGGGTTTAACCCCCCCCCCCCCCCCCCACTTGTGCTAGTAAGTGAAAATATGATGTGCATAGAAAAACGCCACCATGTGTCCAGACCCACACAGTATCCGCATCGTCGTTGGGTCAACCTCACCCGCCCCCTCCCCCACCCACCCCTTAGCAAAAAGCTAGATCCGCCTCTGCTCCTTCTTCTTGATCCGACGCATTCATCATCGCCCCCTTCTCTTCTCGGACTTTTCTTTTTGGCTTCTAGCTCCATCTTTCTCATCTCCTTCGAACCGGCTTCTTATCCTCAGTTTTCCTACATATCCTTTTCATTCATTTATTTCTTTTATCTCCCAACATTTTAATGAAAACCAGTGGTATCAATCGTTGTTCTCCTACTTTGATGTTCTTCTCTTCCTTTTCATCCTCTATAGCACGTTTTGGCCGGCCGGCCCCCTCCTGGCTCAGCTAGCCATCCTTCTGCACCTCCTTGATGCTCTGCACTTCGTTTCTTTTTACATCCGACGCGCCATCCATCTGTCTTTCTTTTCTTTCACCTCTCCCCTCCTAACCCTTCCGGCTCCTCATTCTCCATCTATCTTTTAGAACATCTCTTCCGGTCTCCCCCTCCCCTATCTCCTAAAACCAGGCATGCATGATACATCTTTGCTTTGCTACTTCTGAATCAAAATATATATAACACTATATAGTTTTGATTCGTTGTTATCCTAACAAAAACGGGAATGATCTGATTAGTTTGGATTATAATCAATACATTTTAATAGAGAAAATAAACTTTCAGATATTTTTAGTTGATATATTCGAGTTCATTCCTTTTCACTTATGTCTTATAGGGGAAGTCCACTCCATAAGTAACTTACTTTCAATAGAAGCAGAAAAATCAGACAAACCAATCAAAAATAGTTTGAGCAAAATCGGATAAGTTATACGAAACTTATGAATTTTTAATGACATGAAAAACTTTGAAAATCCCAAGACAAATTGGCAACTCACTCATGAGTCTGTTACGTCATTGCCTCACTATCCACTAACTGTTTTCTTTATATTGATAATATACACTTCCAACTTTCCCCCTAAAATTCTTATTTCCTCACACAGCATCCAATTTATATTGATAGTAATATGTTTTTGTGTGGATGCATACTTAATTTTTTTTTATAACTTCCTTATTAGTTATCCGTTTTTCTTGATCTATTAAAAACAAATTATTTTAGGAGTGGAATTAGCCTTTAGGCTTCCATATTTGTTGTTCATATTAGAGAGCGAGAAAAACAAATTTGTATACATAGTCACGTTTTTATTTGTGAAAGGATTTCATTGCCCCCTTATCACTCTCACTCTCTTTCTCTGAATCTCTATTGCATTCTCATCCTCTTTTCTTCCTTCTCCAGCTCCCCCTGTCCCCTTCCCCCTTTTCTCTATCCCTCTTTCTATCTCCTTCCACTTTCTCCCTCTCTCTCTCTGTTTTTCTCTCCCTATCTCCTTCCCCTTTCTCTCCCTCTCTCTACCTCCTTCCACTTTCTCTCTCTCCCTCTCTCTCCCTATCTCCTTCTCCTTTTTTTCTCTCTCTCTCTCCCTATCTCTTTCTCCTTTCTCTCTCTCTCCTTCTATCTCCTTCCCCTTTCTCTCTATCTCCTTCCCCTTTCTCTCTCTCCCTATCTCCTTCTCCTTTCTCTCTCTCTCCTTCTCTCTATCTCCTTCCCCTTTCTCTCTCTCCCTATCTCCTTCTCCTTTCTCTCTCTCTCCTTCTCTCTATCTCCTTCCCCTTTCTCTCTTTCTCCCTATCTCCTTCCCCTTTCTCTCTCTCTCTCCCTATCTCCTTCTCCTTTCTCTCTCTCTCCTTCTCTCTATCTCCTTCCCCTTTCTCTCTATCTCCTTCTCCTTTCTCTCTTTCTCCTTCTCTCTATCTCCTTCTCCTTTCTCTCTCTCTCCTTCTCTCTATCTCCTTCTCCTTTCTCTCTCTCTCCTTCTTTCTATCTCCTTCTCCTTTCTCTCTCTCTCCTTCTCTCTATCTCCTTCTCCTTTCTCTCTCTCTCCTTCTCTCTATCTCCTTCCCCTTTCTCTCTTTCTCCCTATCTCCTTCCCCTTTCTCTCTCTCTCTCCCTATCTCCTTCTCCTTTCTCTCTCTCTCCTTCTCTCTATCTCCTTCCCCTTTCTCTCTCTCTCCTTCTCTCTATCTCCTTCCCCTTTCTCTCTTTCTCCTTCTCTCTATCTCCTTCTCCTTTCTCTCTTTCTCCCTATCTCCTTCCCATTTCTCTCTCTCTCTCTCTCTCTCTCTCTCTCTCTCTCTCTCTCTCTCTCTCCTTCCCCTTTCTCTCTCTCTCCCTCTGTCTCTGTCTCTGTCTGTCTGTCTCTCTCTCTCTCCCTCTATGAATGCACACTTCCCCTAGTTTTGATACCCTCATCTCTTTCTTACACACTGTCTACATCAAGCCTGCTGAGAGCCTATATTAACTAATATCATCTATAAAGAGTTATTAACCCTCTGGCTCTCAACAGGTGATTGTCAATATATCACTATCAATCAAATGCACACACAAAATGAGAAATACTTTTTCTTGGAGATAAATATGTTTAGCAGTTACCAGATCTATTACCAGCAGTATAGATATTACAATAATATCAAAAATATACATATGTGCATAGATTATACTCCTCCATTCACAATATGAATTATCTAATGAAATAGTACAGAACAATTACAATTACCCTCATGCACACAAAACATTAATAAGAAACATTAATACAAGACAGACATAGATAGGAATTCACCAAATGAAAGACAGTCTTCATTGGCATACCTTGCATAATTTCTGATAAGGTTTTTTGGGTCACATACATTGTATGCAAAAGTATGCATAAGTAATTACTGTTGAACATGCCCTTATGCAAACCACAGAAAAGATCTACAATTCTACATTACCCTTTTCAAGGTATTCAGGACATGCATTTTTAGTCAAGTTAAATTCAGAACCTTTTCATCTTTAAATTGGCAAAACTGGCATACATGTTTTGTCTATTTTTGCTACGTTTCACTCTCTCCGAAATACACAAAAGTAGGCCATTTCAATCCAAATGGGAAAAACAGCATATTTACCTTGAGCATATACAAGCAAGTGACATCATGATAATTTATAGAAAATATGCTACACGTACAACTTTTTTAAAAGAGGAAAATCTCTCTTATTAGAAATATACATCACAAACCTGTACAACTATTATACATGTGACTTGCCTGTATCGAACAGCAAGGCTAAGTTCTATTCCTACACCATTTAGGACTGTAAATTTCTTAAATTATTGCTGTAACTACATGTGCCAATTAGCATATTAAAAAGGAAAGCAACTCTGAACATTTGATTAAGTGGTTACATTTTAAGCAAGATGTGACAATGAATACATAATGCTTTCCTGAATGCAGGGATGAGACAGAGAATTTCCCCAAAAGGAGGAAGATTAAATGGGGGTCCATGGGGTAACACCCTGGCGAGGGTAAAAGGGGGCCACGTTCCCTTGCTGCAGAAAACTTTAGAATATATTTACGTAAGAGGACATGTTTTCCTCGCATTTAAATTCTAAATTTCAGAAATATTTGTTACCCATCTTGCTTAAAGGGACTCTATAACATTGTTCAGATGAGAGAAAAATTGCTGCTAAGGTATTGAGGTCAATATGCTAAATGATAATCTGAATTTTTTTTTTTTTTTTTTTTTTTCCGTCTTGGAATCGGTGGAGGAATCACATCCCTGAGAATGTTATGCTGAAAGGAATTTCTCAAGAGTAGGCAATGAAAGATAATTGTACGAGACATACTCTGGAGACACTAGCACCCTACATAATACCGACTGCTGTAACCCTTAAAGTAAACCCATCTATAACCCAAACTGTTAAAAGCCGACACTACAAACTCCAACATGTAATTTTAACGCCATACCAAGAATAATATTTAACTGTTGTAGCCACCCAAATTGTAAACTTACACCCATGTGTGACCCAAGATCTACACCAATATATATGAGGAAATAAAACCTGTAGCAAAAGTCGCAAGATATGTTGGATATGTTGACTTGAGGTCAATATGCTAAATGATAATCTGAATTTTTTTTTTTTTTTTTTTTTTCCGTCTTGGAATCGGTGGAGGAATCACATCCCTGAGAATGTTATGCTGAAAGGAATTTCTCAAGAGTAGGCAATGAAAGATAATTGTACGAGACATACTCTGGAGACACTAGCACCCTACATAATACCGACTGCTGTAACCCTTAAAGTAAACCCATCTATAACCCAAACTGTTAAAAGCCGACACTACAAACTCCAACATGTAATTTTAACGCCATACCAAGAATAATATTTAACTGTTGTAGCCACCCAAATTGTAAACTTACACCCATGTGTGACCCAAGATCTACACCAATATATATGAGGAAATAAAACCTGTAGCAAAAGTCGCAAGATATGTTGGATAACCTAAAAGATTTAGACACAAAGAAATAAGACACTTGGAGGAAAGCGTTCTTTCGAACTAAAATGGATGAATTTGATTGTAAAATACAGGCATACCCTTAAAATGTAATACTTGAGAAGATATTTGCACAAAGGCACAAAAGAGATTTGCAAAAATATGCATTAGATAAATATATTCAACCTACATTTAAGGCTTGCTTTGAAAGCCATTGCTTGAAGTTTGAAAATGAAAGACATCATAGCAGTGAAGAAAGTAAGTCAGAGAAAGCATTTTGGGTAAACTAAAATAATTAAAAACTATAAATTCACAAGATCCTTAAATAGATCTTTAATCTGATCCCCCCTCAGTTTCTGTTACTTGTGGTTTCAACTCCTGATTTTACTATGTCCATCTTCATACGCAATTTTATGTATCTGTTTTTATAATTGAGTGAATAATGAATTGAATGATCTGCCTGGGTAGTATTACTTTGAGTACATTAATAAATGCACTTTGTATATTAACAAACAATGTGATTTCATTAATAATAATAATATGGATATTTATATAGCGCCGGTATCCAAAAAAGAAAAGTCTTTTGATATGACCATTGAGTAATGGTAGTGTTACGGAAAGAGCCACTTGTTAATGGTCATAAACAGATAAAAGTCACATGTTGTGCGGGCACGTTGAACGTAATCACCCGACTACAAAGTATAAATTGAAAGACATTGTGCAAGAAGATGCTATGCGCTTCATCAAACTCCTATACTCCAGAACGTTGATGGTTTCCCGTTTCCGTCTCTCTCCCGCTTCACAAAGGATGTGAAGGATGAGACACAGTTACCAATGAAGAACTCTGATTGGCCAAGGATGATGAGGTCAATCTGTGGCATGTGGGGGTCGAGATGGTGAACTTTGACCTGGAGATGAGTGAAAGACAGATTATGCCATGACGTAAGAGCTTGTTTGTTCTCTCTGCTACCTTGCTGCCCATAACATACTTCAGATTGACTTTCCACCTATCATCAATCACTCAACATTTTCAATCATACCTTTTCATTCTTTGGCAAATCAATCAACAAATACACATAAAACAATCTTTAATAATTAAAAGATTGAAATGTTTCCTCAATCTAATATCTGATTTACACGAAGTCTCTACAGGTTCATACATCATATAATTATGTTTCGAGGCAGCATCTTGACTGCATCTCCTTTTAAATTATACCTTCTTGATACCATTTTTCTGATTTTCAATTACACCTTTGATGGTACTGCAAAATGAAAGAGGATATCAAACCAACCTCATCTCCAAACATCTCTTTCAGTTCCTTCTGGTAGGAGAATTTATCGGTAGCGATGAAGACATGTTTGGTCTTGTACTTCTCCACCGCAGCTCTGGTTTCCTCTAGAACCATCTCCTTGGTAGGGTAACACATGGCCTTGGTAACCGGCTCCTGACCCACCTTATGACATTGGGGTGATGCCATCATCTGTCTCATCCCTTCTACCGTCTCACATGATCTTTCCTGAAGAGTGAGAGAACAAAGTCAAAGATTAAAGCCCATCTGAAGTGTTGGGAGCCCTCCAAAATTTGATGGCAAAATTACACTTATATTGTATCATAATGTGAAATAGGATGTCATTTAAGACACATTTCAAAACAAATGTATTTGAAGTCGAATATTGATGAAAGAATACCAAATTAAGGTTTTCTGCGTATAAGTGAAAACCCAAATTACAATGTATGTATTCTTTTATTAATATTTGTAACACCTTCTTTATTTTTTTTTTTGGGGGGGGGGGGAAGGGGGAGATCTTTGCAGAAGAGTGTCGTAAGTGGCATCCTCTTTTAAATTGTGATACAATTTAATGAAATTTTGCCATCAGATTTTTGGCAAATTTGGGGGCTCCCAACACTTTAGAGGCTGGGGGCTTTAACCAAGGTTAAAGGTCTTGGATCGTTTTGGTAAGCCCTCAACAAATGTTTGTCAGACTTCTTTGATTTAGATTATAAATAGCAAGATACTAGTAATACTAAGACACTCAGAAGTACTTTCCTCCTCAAATGGAATACATGACCCTGCATTGATATTACCGGTAAATGCATTAATGTAGTAGTAGACTTTATTGGATAACTTGTTAAGCACAGGGCTAATCTGCCACAAGGTCTATGCATCGTTCTACTACATCTTTGGTCTAATCCAAGATCTGGTAGGCCTATTAAAGATAAACTCCAGTTCTGGTAAAAAAAAGAAAATTAATTCTCACAGAATCAAACAAAACTTATACTGAATGTTCAAGATTACAAATAAATGACATGTGCCAAACAATTTTGGAAGAAAACGTATACTGGCTGAGTAATGAGCATAGAAAGACAAGGAAATCAAGGTAGTACTAGCCCCGACACCATGTGTGTTGTCCCATATATAGCTTTCTGTGTACAGTGCTTGTTACTTTACCAAGACTCGGTCAAATTTATTATGATGTTGATGACTCCAGAACCTTGCAGTGCACACCAATACTTACATGCTACATGATCAACTGTTTCTGATCCTTTCCACACCTTTTCTTTCACAATGCAATCGCATTACCAGTACTAAAGTTTATCTTTAACTACATACAATCATCTTACACTAGACACGCTACCAAAACTGACCGATTTTTCTTCGTTCAGGGTAATGTCATATTTTGTTGTTTGGTCTGGTGTCGGTCTCATTGGTCTGGTGTCGGTCTTATTGGTCTGGTGTCGGTCTCATTGGTCTGGTGTCGGTCTCATTGGTCTGGTGTCGGTCTCATTGGTCCGGTGTCGGTCTCATTGGTCTGGTGTCGGTCTTATTGGTCTGTTGTTGGTCTCATTGGTCCGGTGTCAGTCTCATTGGTCTGGTGTCGGTCTTATTGGTCTGGTGTCGGTCTCATTGGTCTGGTGTCGGTCTTATTGGTCTGGTGTCGGTCTCATTGGTCTGTTGTTGGTATCATTGGTCCGGTGTCGGTCTCATTGGTCTGGTGTTGGTCTCATTGGTCTGGTGTCGGTCTCATTGGTCTGGTGTCGGTCTCATTGGTCTTGTGTCGGTCTCATTGGTCTGGTGTCGGTCTCATTTGTCTGGTGTCGGTCTCATCGGTCTGGTGTTGGTCTCATTGGTCTGGTGTTGGTCTCATTGGTCTGGTGTTGGTCTCATTGGTCTGGTGTCAGTCTCATTGGTCTGGTGTCGGTCTCATTGGTCCGGTGTCGGTCTCATTGGTGCGACTATATCTCAGATGAAGATATGGCTGGCAACATTTGGGGGAAAATGGCTTGGACGTGCCCAAGAAAAACATTAGGATATTGTAAAATGATCTCTTTTTTATGTACGCACTCTAAAGGCTTAATCCCACACTTTACACCGGTGTGTTGGCTCAGTCAGTAGAGCGTCCGCCTCACAACTGGGAGGTCATGGGTTCGAACCCCGGCCGCGTCATACCAAAATACATTAAAAGACGGGAGTTGCTGCTACCTTGTTTGGAGTTCAACATTAAGGGATAGAGCAACGTTGATCTGGGGCTGCTCAGTGGCTGCCGGGTTCACGATCAATTGGGCAAAAAGAATTTCCACATTCTTTCCACAACTTAATAAAATTTGGAGTGGACTTTAAAAGATTATTATTATTATTATTATTATTACCCAATCACTGGCTGGAGTTCTGAGATGAATGCCGACATGAACATCTAGACATGGTCAGCGATGTGCTAGATAATATAGCTTTCACGAAATGTTCCCTTATCTAATACCACACAGAATAGGCTTGATTTTAAACTTACCCAATCAATGCCAGTCCTAAGATGAATGCCAACGTAAGGCTCTCCGTTAAAGAGATGATCCATGTGGTGCTTGGCCTCAGCAAACAACCCCTCGTTCCATTTGAAGTAGTTCTGGATGACCCGGTTACTCGCTCTCATTGGGAATGGGGCTGGTGCCCCTTTCAATGCTAAGACAGGATGATCTTTTACTGGAAAACTGTAGGAGAGGGGAAATTGTTAAATTACAAATGAAAGTTTTTTAAATCTCTTTGAAATTCTTTATTAAGATAAGCAAGCTAATAATAATATTCTGGATTTATATAGTACCTAAAGGGATTGGGTATCTTTGTCTCAGATTCTGAAATAAAATCCTGGATTTAGCTCATGCTGCAATGATAATCATAAACCTTTCGGTCAGTCAGGAACCCCATGACTTTTTTGAGGCACTTTGTGATCATTTGAAGCGCAATTTTTTTAGGGCTTCAATATTACACCATATCACAGACACTGATAACACGTAGGGCCATGTATCTCAGATTTAACAATGTTAAACGATGCCTTTAATACATCGATGATATCTCTAAGCGCTCTACAGATATATTATTGCCCTGGTCATCGGATTCAGGCTTTCCCGCACACAATGTATGTAGTACATTCTCCACTCCCTAGGGAGCATTCCATACACATGCCATTTTACAGACGTTCACAATGCTGATCTAAATTCAATGATTTTCGCATTGTACCGGACACCCATTTATCATCTACATGTATCTGGAGATTGGCAAGTGTAGATTAATGTTTTTTGAAAGGACGTTAGTAGAAAACAAAGATGACATCATGGAGAAAGTCAGAGAATCAAAGTGGAGATGGGCTGGGCATGTACAGTGTAGCAAGACTTCAGGACAATAGATGGACAAATCGTTTAACAGAATGGCAACCAAGGTTGGAAAAGAGAAGAAGAGGAAGGCAGAAGAGAAGATGGAGAGATCACCTAACATCATACATGGGAACGGCCGCTTGGACTAGGACAGCTAGATACAGAAGAGAATGGAAATGTTATGAGGAGGGCTTTGTCCAATGTCTGGATGAACTATAGCCTGATAGATAGATATATAGTAAGGGGCTGGATTCAAAGTATGTTCTAAATCACCTTACCTTCTGTCCCAATGTTCCTTAATTTTTTCCATGTCTTGTGTATTGGAAAGGTCAGCATGGCTGAAAATCTCAAATTTGATCTCTTCCGCAAAATTAATGCCAAAGCCGTCCCAAAATGGGCCAAATGGATTCCCTGGAGAAAGAGAAGAGAAAGACTGAAAAGTGGACTGACTTTGCCACAAGAGGAAAGAGCTGTAAACAGATACGTGGCAGAAGTCCCACAAACTCGTTTGCTGTTCTACAAATTCCTAGATTGGACAGGATTAAACAACAAGGATATAGGAGTTTTGTTGTATAAAACAAAATATTATGTCTTCGATGCTTTATATCTGCTCTAGTTTAGGCTGTATACATGTAAAAAATCTCAACTCAAGTACGGATAGATGGTATAATGAACTCAAGTACGGATAGATGGTATAATGAACTCATGATGGTCGGTCTTTGTTTTCTTCTTCTAAATGTACGCATATGCATGCATACCTAGTAAGTTTTATTTATTTTGCTATTTAATTTGATATTGTGTTTACCTTGTTAGGGGCCTCATGTACAAGCACAAGTTGCTTCTTAGAGGGCCTGGGGACTTTAAGTTGGACTTAACTATGGCAGGGTGTTCATGTCACTATTTGCTCTCACCATTATGATCTTTAGATAATATTTTTTCCTTTAACAATGAATTATGAAGAAAATGTAAAATTCTGTAGATTTGTGACCATGATTTGTACGCCCCTCGAGACCAATGCCAGTAAATGGTCAGAGTAAATAGTGGCATGAACAACATACCATAGTTAAGTCTAACTTAAAGTCGATCTTAGTCTTTGTGAAACACCCCCCTGGCCTGATATTTATTTTGTATTTATGATACGTAATGTATTTTATGATGCAAAATAAACTGAAATTGTATTCCTGTGTTAGCTTACCTCTCTTCATTTCACATTGAGCATCACTGTTGAGGTAAAGCCAGCAGTAACCTCTCCTCTCATTCTCTGGCCAGTACTTGGGAGCTAGTTCCTCCATGAAGGTTTCCATGGTGATGAGACGAGGATAGAACTCTAGCATGGGTTCAAACTGAAACCAGTCAGTGAAAGGGATGTTGATCTGAATGATTGGAATAAGATGACAAGAGTTTCAAAATGAAATTGATTTCTGGTCAATTGATTACGTTGCCAAAGAATTTATATTTATACATATAGTTTGGAAGTAAGAAGGCTGACTAAAGCAAAAGACTGGATTCATATCCCTTATCTCATACAAAAGTCACTGCAAGTACACGTGTACGAGAAATAGTACACATGTAGTTGACGGAATAATCGTGTACATGTCGCAGCCTAATTATACTGACACTTTGTGATGTTGGAATCATGAACATAAGACAAATATGACTCAGTTTTGCTGAAGTCATACATGTACACTACATACAGATATGTTTATATGGGACTACACACACATTGACATTAAAGTTTGGTCCAAGCCCTTTAGCTGTTTCATAATTTGAATATGAGGGCATCTGAAGGAAATACTTTACAGGGGATCTCTGTTTGTGATACAATTCATAACTGATATAAAGAATAACAAGTACATGTAAGCCCACAAATCATTTCTCACCTTTACACAAACTCAACCTTCTTTCAAAAACCAAAGTTAGTAAATCATGGTGATTAAATGGCTTGAATCAGAAAAAGTTTGATGCCTACACTAACTATGATATGAAGATTCATTTAGACAAAAGGAGTTGGTGCATTTGGCAATAGCCACCCCGTCCCCTCCAATAATCTTGGATATATTGTTGGCACATTAAACATTATATTGAAAATAATACACCAGACTAATTTTCTTTCTAAATTTGCAAACACATTAGTATTTAACTTAAAATACTTCCCCCCCCCCCCCCCCTCAGTACCATGGTGGAGGAGGTCATATAAACTCAGGTCCAAAGCTGATACTGCACTCGAGTCGGGTTGGACTAGGCGGAAAAACCCGAGGCCAAGTTATTTGAGAGAGCTGAAGTGATCACAAATACTTGGGTGAAATTTAAGCATTGAGAAAGTTTTCAGAACCAGATTCAAGATCATTCAGTACAAATGTGGAAAGTAATTACCAAGAAGGTAATATTCAAGAAGTGAAATTCAATGGCTATCTAATTACAGACAATCAAAACCTCATTGATGCAAAGTTCGCAAAATAAGACGACCACCAAAATATTAATTACCCTGTACTTACATAAGTCCTGAACGGAGGTAAGATGATGGTTCTATTGAGTGCTTTACCAAAGGCTAGTGATCCAAGGTAGTGCTCTGCCTGGTTTCCAAACCTCCCTGTCAGAATCAAATTAGAAATTATTTTACAACTACCTGTAGTTTTGAAAAATGATAAGCCTGTTCATCATCAGGTTGGTAGATTGGATCTGGATACCAGAGACTTGATTTTCTACACCCTCATGTTTTGGAAAGGATTTTTATCTAGTTTGAACCCTTTGTCTACGGAAACTGGATTAGGCCTCTTGGAATGAGAACAAATTCAGTTGTCAATGGGTTTTAATACTGCAGACCCATTCTATAACACAAACAATGTTCATTTTTATTTTGTATATTTGTATAGGGCCCCTCCTAATACTTTGCTGTCTTAGGGGTCCTTTCAATTTATTTGTTGTACGTATTCATTATGTAATTATTATGTTTTTAATGGAAAATTAATTGAATTATTGAACATTTTAGCAAGAAAAAAAATATGCAGAAAACTCACAACACATCTCTGGCAATTTTTAAAAGAGCTTTGCTTTAATAGTCCATCTTCAAGAATACAAGCTGTAGTGTCTAGACACTTGACCAACCCTAATCCGTTAATGGTCATAAATGTGCAATACATGTAAGTGTCATAATAGCCCTGGACATTGTTTGCATCACTCTCAAGAGAGCAGCCTGTTTGTAAGGAGTCTGGATTGAACCTCAATAAAGTAAAGACATACCTTTCACATCTCTCTAAAACTAGCATTACTTTGTAAAGTATGGCTTGAATGCTTCAATGCTACACAAGCCGTAGACTATTTCCTTATCTTTAAGCAAACTTACCCATGCAGGGGCAGAATGTGAAGTATCCATTAGGATCCCATTCTAGTTTAGGTGCGGCTTGTGACACCTCAAGTCCTGCTCCTCCAGCTGAAAAGACACCATCCTCTCTCTCATCCGTGACAACCAAGCCTTCATTGCTCTGAAAGTCACTGTCAAGGTGATCTTCACAGAGGCTCAAGGTCAGGGAGAGCACTAAGGAAGACAGGGATAGTAGAAGTCTCATGGTAGAAGCACTTAAAGAGAAGTTGAGTTCTGGGAAAGAGGGGAAAAATCATTTGTGAGCGTTAATTATCATTATTATTAATATGCAAGTGTGGAAGAACATCAGATTAAAAATGTTCCCTGAAAAGCATAGCTCTTCAAATGCCTTAATATTCTAAATATGGCATGAAACAGCATACAACAGCATACAAATGGGGACAGATTTTCATGCCAAATGTTCGTGTAGTCCCATATACATCTCTCTGTGTACAGTGCTCGTAACTTTACCAAGACTGGGCAAAATTTCTTATCCTTTTGATGATTCCAGAACCTTGCAGTACACACCAATATGTACTACCCAGGACCAAAATCCAGTTCAAACCAATTGGAGCAAAACCAATAGAAACCAGTTGCCAACTAGTTCCAGTTGAAACCAATTGAACCATGGACCTACGATTGAACATTCCCAACTGGTTCCAATTGAAATCAATTGAACATTCCCAACTGTTGACATTTCCAGTTGATTTACCAGTTGAGACCAGTTGAGACCAGTAATCAACCAATATTCTGATAATCAATAATCAATATTGGCATCTGGCAACCAACTAGACCATCATATAAACTCTTGCAATTACCCCATCACAATGATCATTTGAGGTGGATTACAGATGAGTTTCATTCTCAGTTTGAATATTGGAGCTCGTACATACATATACAAAATTATAAATTTTGTTTCCTGGGTAATAATTACTTACATGTATATCAATATATCTATTTTTACGTCTTTAATTAGATGAAAAATATAAACAGACATAAAATTTATATGTCAATGATCGACTAAGAAAATATAAATCACAAAATTGATGTGCATTGTCACATTTGCTTGACAGATCATGATAATTATATTTTCTGTGAAAACATGCAAATTAGTCATGAATATATGCATAAGATACATTGAACTGGTTTTTCAACTGGTTTTTCAACTGGTATTCTACTGGTTTTCAACTGGTAAATCAACTGGTAATCATCTACTGGTGTTTAACTGGTAAATCAACTGGTTTTCAACTGGTAAATCAACTGGTCTCAGATGTCAACTGGTATCAACTGGAATTTCGACCTGCCGGGGATAGATGATCAACCTTTTTTGATAGACTTCACACTGTTTCTTTCAAAATGCAATTGCATGACCAGAACTCAACTTTATCTTTAACATGTAATTGGTGTTTGCATGGTTGCTTGAAATTGTGGGTCCTGACTGAAACAAACACAAGAAGATCATGAGGATGCATTACTAGTAATCCAAACCTTTATTCTACAGGGCTGCTTAACCCTCCTTTCGTTCGTTAAGCCTCTTATTTGGGTAGGGTCGGCTCCTCTTGAGCCGACCCTACCCAAATAAGAGGCTTAACGAACGAAAGAGACAGAAAATTCAGGCTATATAGACCCTAGGCCTAACTAGACCCTAGACTATATTTAAAAATATATATTTATTCATTTATTTATTCATTCATAGATCTAGGATGTTTTAAGGAGCTTTACTAAACTCTCTTCTCTTTTCTCTGGTCAAAGTAGAGCCTATATGGCCCTATAGGCTATACGAGTAGGGGGAAACCCCGGTGAAGTGGTCCACCTGCACACACCCCCAGTATAGTACGATAATACTCTGTAAAGAGGTCTGTACTCAAAAGGAAGAAGAAGAAGAAGATTTAAATGGGAGATCAAACATTTCCATTAAAAATTCTGGGGGGAGGTATAGGGTCTAAATATTAGGTAGCATATTGATAAATGAATATAAAATATTAAGAACAAACTACACACACTCTCCGACTCTCCGACATAGCGACAACAGCGCTAGACTATTATTAGTATTAACAGATTTGTCGGTCTCCCCTCATCGTAAATCTACGTGGCATTTACTCAGCCTCACGCACCGCTGAACACTCGGGTACAAATTCATTCGCTGTCCGCTAGCGGCCGCTGGCACTTGCGGGCGCTGGTACAACTTGTTTTGTAATAATACATCTAGAGGGTCTACAGCTTATTAAAGTGAAACAAAGAATTTAAACTTAACAATAACTAATTAAAACGGGGAAAACTAGACACACCTACCCTGAATTGGCAACGGTTTCTCAATACAGGACACTTTTGTGACTTCTAATCTATCATATCCCTCACAAAGCAAAGCAAGGTCAGCTCGAAGTGTTTGTCTGCAGACGTAGACTAGACTAGACGAGTGAAGCAGTTATGATAAGCAAAATGGGGACTTTTATTATAATTATAATAATATTTTTTGTTGTTTTGGTTTATAGGCGTTTATCATTCAGGATTGAATATTTACGCAGTTTCCATGTTCCCAGAAATGTCATGGATTGGACACAACTATTTCATTTATTTCATTCTTTTATTTTGTTTGATTTTCTTTCTTTTGTATATTAGTACCGTATTCTTCATTCAAAATTTTGAGTCATATTCATCCCGCAAATCTTTACCACTTTCAAAAAGTATAAAGTTATCTTTTTATCCTGAAACCGATTAATAGAGTGAACTCTGTCAGAATAAGGAACTTTTCTTTTTTTTGATAGACAAATAAGAAAGAAAGAAAATTTAAAACAAAATAAAAGAATGGAATAAATTAAATAATTGTATCCAATTCATGAGATTCAGTTCAGGATTCTTTTTGTTTGTTTTTTTCAAAACTGATATGTCTTTTTAAAGTGTACTCGCTATAATGAACACTTTCTATTATTTCATTATTTGACAACTTGCTCCTTATAATCTTGTCTTTCTTCTCCCCCGTCTCTCTCTCTCTCTCTCTCTCTCTCTCTCTCTCTCTTCATATCTCTTCGTAATCTCTTCCCTCTCTTTCTCATTATGCTCCCATCTCTATATCATGATCTATAGTCTCTCGCATCTTCATCCCATATCCCTCCCACCTCTCTCTCTTTCTCTCCTTTTCTTTCTCTCTCTCTCTCTCCCTCTCTATAAGTCTCTCCCACTCTCACATCTTTCTCACTGCTTCTCTCATCTTCTTCCCAAGTCTACTAGTAGTCCATATGTCTCTCTCTTGGATTCCTCTCCTTTCTTTCTCTCTCTCATATTGCCTCCATTCTCTCTTTCTTTCTCTTCTATCTTTCTCTCTCTATCTGTCTCGATCATCTCTCTCTCTCTCTCTCTCTCTCTCTCTCTCTCTCTCCGCCTCCCTCTGAAAATTGAGTCCTATATAAATATAATGGATGGCAAGTTAGAGGTGGGTCCAAGCAGAATATGAAGTGGGTGTGGGCGTGGAGTGGGTAGGTGGGGTTTAAATAATAATAACTCCCTGGGAGTTTGTGGAGAGGAACCATCTTAAGGTCAGGCGGGATTTTTGTATAAAGAATGAAATTTTGTACATAATTATATGGATGGAAAGTTTGGGGTGGGTCTTAGCTATCGCGGGAGCTTGGGAGGACGCAGTTATGGTGGTGTGTTAAAAAATGGAGAGGGGGGGGGGGGTATATAGCTGATTATCAGTCGTCAGCTAGCTGCACCTCGTCGTAGGGGACCATCTTAGCTCTAGATTATTCTCTAAAAGGGCCCCTTTTTTAGGGACGTTTAAATAAATGTCGGTCCCCAGACATTACACACACACACGAGCACACCGATGATTCCCCTAGGACTCCCTGATGTTTTTTCTTCTACAAGACCACTCCCCACCCCACCTCTTCTCCGCCGCAAGCTCCTATTATATTTTTTAAGATATTTATTTTAGAAACAAATTGCTATTTGATTAACATCTGACTTTCCTGCCCAAATATTTGAATCAAATGTAATACGTGGATTGAGTTACTCATTACACTTGACTTTATTGATTTATGCATGGGGCATATTGAATCCTCTTCGCGTGTCTCTCTCTCTCTCTCTCTCTCTCTCCCCTCTCTCTCTCTCTCTCTATGACTCTATCTACCCCCCCCCCCCTAGAAATACGTATGTTTACTTGACTAGCAAACAAGTAGGCTACGCGAAAGCCAAGAGTGATTTGGGTCTTTACGAAAAAAGGCAAGAATTTTGTTTGATTTTGTTTTGTTTTTTGGGGGCCAAAATAGTCTTGATTGCTTTAGTATTTATAACAGAAGATGGCGCTACACACTCTACATAACATAGAGATTTATTTATGATGTTGAAAATGACACCCGGCCTAACGGAGCGTCGCACAGTGGGCCAGAAAGGAACCAAAGTGCGCCAAATTCCGGTATGCACAATAAGGGTATAAATTATTTACTCCTTCAAACAACAAAATCTTACATATTCACAGTTTTGTGCAAAAGTGAATTATTTTATAAATCTTTCAATTTAACATGAAGTTTTTAAGTTATTGATATGAAATTTCTCTCACATACTCCTGATCAGGCCCGTAGCCAGAGTTTGATGTTCACATTCATGTAATCGATCGAGGTAAAAAAAAAAAGGGGTCTAAAAAAGTTCAACCGATCTTGAATTTTTTTGGGGGGCACGTGCCCCCCCCCCCCCCCCCCCGTGGCTACGTGCCTGCTCCTGAGAGTTCATTTTACTGCATTAATGGGTAACAAATGGATGATAGAAACACAATCTTCATAATATATTATAGGGTAATTCACTGAGAAATGGACTAACTATCCATGTAATTTAAGCGGAAATCCCTGGAAATCCAAACATTTCCTCTGGATTTATGAAAAATAAATCCCCAAAAATGAGTTTGGTTCCTCCCTGGCCCACTGTGCGTCGACTCAGCTGCAGGATAAACGACGGGTGAAGTTCTCTTTTTAATGAAAGTTTAACGCAAGAACCCCCCCCCCCCCCACAATGAGGGACAAAAGGCTTAACTAGAGAGGCACAGAGACATACAGCGAGAAAGAGAGAGAGAGAGAGAGAGAGAGAGAGAGAGAGAGAGAGAGAGAGAGAGAGGGGTGGGGGAGCTGCAAATAGCTGCAAAGACGCGTGTACATTCATTTAAAATACCGCTAGATGGAGTAATTTACATAAGGAAATGCATTACAACAATTTGTTTAGCCTACATAATGGTAAAATATCGCCATTTAATATCATGCTGACTCCCTCCCCTCCCCTTCCATCTCCCCCTTGCCCCTCCCCCTCCCCCTCCCCTCCCCCTCCCCCTCACAGTAGCAGACCGTCTCTTTGTTTGACATTTGGTTTATAGTGGGCGTGGCACATCGGTCAGGAAAACGTCTGCTCGTGTAGTCTATTTACTAAACTTTCCTTAAAGACTATTCATCAAAATTCTATTAATTTCTAAAATTATTTTCAAGATGTATGTACTGAGAAACCATAATAAAACCATTCATTATGAATATATCTGCATTAAGAGGTAAACAATATTTGAAGAGTAGATTGTTAATGTTAATTTTGTTTCAATTAAAGAAAGTATGAAACAAAAGACTACTGCTAAAGAGGAAGCGGTTGAAGCTATACAAGCTACATCTCAAACTGTACACAATTTAGCATAGTAGTCCGCATTAGAGTTCTATTTTTTTTTACCACCAGAAATTTAGAGATCTTTGTGACCCACAGTGTAGCCTACACCAGCTGAAAACAGGGACTTCACCATAGTGACTGCAGTGAAGCCTAATTTTGTATATATCACTATAGGTCTAAGGAAATTAGTGGAAACGTTCCAAGTTATTCCTCCATCCCGCTTTAACTCTTGTGTACTGCTGCAGTGTTGGGGAGCTGGGAGTAGGAGCGACGCTGCCTTGACTTCGGCGCGGAGGAGCGCTGGCGCACGTGGGTGGCTAGTAACGTGTACGTGTAGCAGCACTTTCACCTGTATTTCAGAAGGGCTCGTCGAATCGAAGAGATACCAGCATAACTCCTTGGTCGAATCTAGATCTCCTTTGCGGTAAGATGATTTCATTTTGTTTTGGTTTTATTCGGTGTGAACACGTTTAAAATCATTCATGAGTCGTCAACAGTTAATTTGATTCACCTTCTAAATTCTCTTCTCTGAGACTGAGTCTGATGATCAATCTAGAAATTATGATTATTTATAGAACGATATGCATGATGATGATGATCTACGACTACCTGACTACTAAGTAAATGTTTCTAATGTAGTATTATGTAATGACTAATGATCTTCTTAGTTCTTTTATCTTGAAGTTAACCCTTTCACTTCAAATTGACAGTGCTTTTTTGTTGTATTCCAAATGGCTTAATGCTTAATCTCATATTAATCCTCATTTTCTAAAAAGTAAAGTGTTGAAAATCTCATCAAAATTCAAGTAAGAGGAGTTTCATTTTCAGAAGAAAGGACTGTGGTGTCATTTTGTCATTGCAAAAACAGAGGTTCCCATGTTGATCTTCTTGATCTGGGCACTCATTTTAATAATTTATGCAGTTCACGATTTTTAAAGTGAATTTTGGTATTTTGTGGCTTGTGAATAAAATTACTAAAATGTGACTTTTCGTAAGACGCTTCTCTTAAATAGATAGATGTCAAGATTTTTTGTTTGTTGCAATGTTTTGTTTCGTTAGAATCCTGGTTAGAATCATGCAGATTAGCTGATCTATTGGTATATATGCCCAGAGATGCGAGCTTCATAAACATGGGTACACTGGCCATAATTAAGTTGTATATCATAGAGTTTACAGTTGTCACTGTATAGCATTTAAAATTGACTTCTAAGAGGAAAGTACCCTCTATGTCAAGTTAGATTTTAAAACATGAAAAGAAGAATATTCAGAGAAGCGGATGCCGATCGAAGGCTTTTTTAAAGCAAACTCAAATGTAGGTTTCTGAATTTGTTAAGTAACACCAATCAAAAAGAAGTATGGATGGCTTCCCCCTATTTGATATTAGTTTTTTAATTTTTCCTTTTTTTGGGGGGGGGGGGGGTTGTGTCTTTTTTCTTGTTTTTTACTGATCCACCTGATCTATAAAAAATTAAAAATTCATATTACCAGTATTGTACTAGAAAAGTTTCCTGTTTTAGATTACGGAATAAAGAAAGGAATTTTGTCAGTGGGGGGGGGGGGGGGGGGGGGGGGGGGGGAGACATATTCCCCAAAATGTCAGATAATATATATATGTATATATGGGAGGTGGCACAGGTACAAGAGGGGGGGGGGAATCAATATTTGTTGTACAATATTAATTATTAGAGCTGCTCGAAGAAAAATCATAGAAAAAATATACATCCTTTGTATCAACATTCTGTTTTTTTGTTGTGTTCAGACTCGCATCTTTGGAGAAAAAAATATACTCATTACCATGGCAACCCTCAAAAGTGATTATGATGACGTCATCATCCCTGAGGATGTTTCTGCGATGGATTTCATTTATGAAAAGTTTGAGCAATTTGGAGACTCAACTGCAGTGGTTTGTATTTTAATTTATAGGGTTAATGTATTTTTTTCTTAGGGAGGGGGGGGGGGGGGGGGGGGGTCTTTACATGTACATGTTGATCTATATTGAAATATATCTTAAAATATGAAATTGGGATGAAACATGAATTGTAGCCACACTTGCTGTTATAATCAATATGTGTTTACATTATGAATCATAACCCTACATGTAAATGCTTTATTTTGTTTTGTTAATTTTATTGAACTATTTATGTTTCATGAATTGAAATAGTTGAAATTAATTGATTTGTGATAAAAGGTAAATATTAACAAATCTTTAGATCAGTAAAAGAAATCAACGTGTATTTCCATAACAAACATACAACAAACATACAACATTCAGGGTAATACTATTTCCAAAATGTTCTTTCAGTACATTTAACTCTTAATTTTTTGATTTCCAGTCTAAAGTTTTATAAATAATTGATTAATGCATATATATTTATAAGTGTATAAACATATGATTAATGCATACTTCATCTTACAGATTATGTAAACAAATATCAATTAGTACAATCAAGTTTTAAAGATTTTATTTGAAATATGATTTCTTGGTTATTTTTTGTTTTGTTTCCACTCCCATGTCTTCTGCAGGCAGACGCTGCTTCAGGACGATCGTACACCTTCGCTCAGGTGAGAGCCTATTCCAGACGGATTGCTAGCGCCCTCTCTAGGCAAGGAATAAAGAAGGGGGATGTCATAGGCATTGTGAGCCCCAATCTCCCGGAGTACGTGCTGATGCTATGTGGGGTAGTTGAGATGGGCGGTATAGTGAGTGGTGTCAACCCCCTGTACACTGAAGGTCAGTGCTATTTCCTTTAAATATTGTAGGGTGGTCTTTGAAACTGATGGTCATTTTGGACACTTTTTTGCCAAAACTGACAATTAGGTGTGGGGTAAATTTTCAATTGTTATTATCAGCTAAAGAGTTTTGATGGGCTTATTCTATGTAAAAATGTACCCTGATGCTAGAAAGAGATGTTGAATTCACCCACATTAATAATCAAATGGTAATTTTGGTCACCTTTTGGCCGAAAAATAATATATAATCTATAATTTGTATAGATATTTGTCCATTAATGCCCAAAATAATGCCAAATTTTCAGTCAGAATCAATGAATGAATGGATTTTTATATTCAAATTCAATATCAAAATATTCACTGATATCGGTTCATTCAATTTCATCGAATTGATTTGCACAGTTCATCAAGAGTCTAAGAATATAATAATCTAATAATGATAGTACTGACAATTTTACTATTACTACACTACTACAGTGTACTAATACCACGGTAATAATCAATACAAATAACAGGATTTATATAGCTCCTTTTCCAGAGGATACAAGCTGCTTTCCTTTAGTCTCGGGACAAAATAAGAAGAATTCTAGAGGTGTGTTGTCAGATGTTTTTTGAAGATGTCAAGTGAAGTACCGGTACTATTTCTTAAAAATCCAGGGAGTTTGTTGTCCCTAATAGGCATAGGGAAACTGATTGAACGGCTCAAAACTTTTTGGAGGTTGTGCCCTTTCATAAATTAATTTTACTGCATGTGGTTATAGATTAATTTGAATTAATTCGAACATGAGATTGAATTTCTCTTTCAATACAGATGAGCTGCTGCATCAAATGGAGACTGTTGATGCAAGGCTTATCGTAACCGTGCCACCATTTGCCGAGAAATGTCTTAACACCATGAAACGATTCCCCAGAGTTCAGGTATGTCTTGTCATTTCTGCTTATAAGCTGCATCAGCCTGCCAAGTATTCCAATTTTATGCATGCTTGTACAACATAAGAAAAAAGAAGTAGTGTCAACTTGTAACATCCAGGAAATTTGCCTGGTATAGCAACAAAAAACTTGCAACAGGTGGCTGTAAATGTGTGAAATCATTCTTTGTAGAAAATGTATTGGATGAGAAAAAATCATTGCTCAAGTCTCATTAGTATATATCAGTAGACATTGTTATAAAATGATGACGTAGATCCTAATCAAATGATTGGTTGAAAGCGTACACGTGACCATGCATTTATTTAGCCTAACGCGAAATTCGGATAACTACCGGTCATTATCCTATGGTAATGACCGGTCATTGGCGATCATGTTTTGCGATCGCAACCATTGAGATTTATTGTTTAACTTTTACTCACGAAAATGGCTGCCGCGGAATTTAAAACGCATTAGTTTATCTAAGTTAGATCTAGATCAGTCATAGATGTAGACTTAGAATTAGTAATGTACGGACTTTGAGATGAGGGTGATTTATCAAAAAACAAGGATCCACATCATAATTTTATAAAACAAATAATACACAGCATTTTGTTCGGGCATTAGTAAAATTACCCACACTCGGTACCTTTGAAACAAACCAAACACCCGAGGCGATAGTTAGACTGTTCCAAAGGTACCTAGTGTGGGTAATTCTTACTAATGCCCTCACTGCAGTGCATTATTTGTATATTATCATTAATATGTGACCAGTGTTAGACCTCAGTGACACCGTCAAGTCAAGACCGACTTACCTTTGCCCATTTTCAATTCAATTCAATTCAATTCAATTCAATTCAATTCTTTATTCAACCACTATGAAACAATTTACAATGACAATATACAATATAATGGTTAGGACTTAGGACCACTTAGAAGCAAAGATCTGCTTGTAATCGGGGCCCTCTAACAAACATTAACAAGATAATAAACATAAATTAACACTAAATATTTGGGGTAATGTAATTGTTTGTTCGGTTTGTAAAGGATTATTCTTCAACCTCACTCAAAATATTTCAACTCGGATCGGAAATAGTTTATAGCTTTGTACCAAATTCATTGAAGTTTACTAGAAAATGATGGTAGTGCCTGCCCTAGTGTAAAAGTTTCTCTATGGGATTGTTATTGTTGTTGTTATTGTTATTATTATTGTTATTATTATTATTTCCATTGTCATTATTATTTTCATTATTATGAATATATTTTTACTTTTATTTTTCTTGAATTCTGTATCAGGATGTTTATGTGTTTGGGGAAGCAGAAGGCTGCAAACCCTTCAAGTCTCTCCTGGCTGATGATGGTAGCGCTTGCCCTCATGTGAAAGTCTCTCTAGAGGACACCTTCGCCTTGCCTTTCTCCAGTGGAACCACAGGCTTGCCGAAGGGGGTCATTCTCACCAACAAAACTATCGTCTCCAATCTACGCCAGCTTGAAAGGTGAGTACAGCATTGGTGATCGGACCTTTGCTCTGACAACAATTGCTCCGGGCTTTGTTTTGTCAAATTCATAAGGTAAGTGTTAAAGTTGCAGTTGGGTGATAGGTTAGGGTTAGGTTTAGGGCTAGGTATAGGGTTGGGTCCATGGTTGAAGTTAAGAATTCAACTGGTGTGGGATATTACCCAGGAGCAATTCTCGCTACCGCATAGCAATATACATTCCCATTATGTAATGGGCCTACGATATCTCAGCAATTTTGCAGACACACTAGCTTCCGGTGATCTAAAACACGTATTATATGCTAATAATTCATTTTCTGCAAGTCTAAATCTTGCCTGATAGTTACACATTTTGAAAAGTACACAAGCAGTAAGCATATTTAGTCATTAAAAGTATTAACCTGCACTGAAAAACGCAAGCGCTCGGAAAAATTATCTCTGAAAAACTTAGCAATCTGCAACACAAGTGGCTTCTTTTCCCAAGCCATGACCGAGCGCTATTATCAGTAATTTTTAAGAATTGACTGTTCGATACAGCACAGTCACATATTTGAAGATACCGAGAGTTGACATTTTCAATAAATTTACATCATTAGAGATTTAGGGAAAACTACATTTTCTCATTTTTAGACCTACTGACAGTAAAGTGTAAGTCCAATACTGTGTGGACCGTTTTGATCGGAAGTTCATGTGACTACAAACTCCTGGTTAATTCGCTATTAAAAAATAGGGCACCACTTGCGTTGGCTTGTTTTCAGCTAGTATATGCGGTAGGGATAATTGTTGCAGGAGCAAGTGTCATTCAACCTAGATATGACCTTTAGATCTGTAAGAAGTCCAGTCTCAACCCTACCCCTAATATGAACATTCTGTAAGTGTAACCAGTATAGATATAGATGAGAAATACATGTACTGTGTACTTGTCTTTCAGCTGGATACACACTTATATATACCATCATCATCATCATCATCATCATCATCATCATCCTTGTAACGTATTTAGAGAGACAAACATATTCAATCTTGACAAGCTAACCATAAACATACATTCATGGAATGCTAGTACATTTCTATGCAAATATACAACACTGCTTCCCTTGACGAGTATGTTTCATATAAACAAACAAAGACTTTTATTTATTACTAGCTTACATATTGATGTGCAAACTGAAATAGCACAATAAATAGCAGATTACATTTCTTTTAAAGCTATTTTCACTTTTAACTGTTCCTATTTTCTGTACTGCATTATTGGTAACAGCAATTTAACTTTTCTGTAAAATGTGTGTTAAAACCTTCAAGCCATCTGAGAAATATAATAACAAATTATCATTCAATATAAGTTTTAAAGTCATACTAAAGTTACAGGATTATGGCTTTTTTATGCATTCCATAGTACCGGTAAATGGTTCTTTTCATGAATTCAAACCAATGTTATAGACTGCATTGTTTTCGTAAGATACCATCAGATTTGTTTCTAGTCATTACTTCATCTAGGACATTATGACTTTTAATTTTGAACCATCATCACTACCGTCTTCTCCTCTTCCTTCCTTCAAATTAGTTACAAACACATGTGAATTTATTTTAACTCCTGCTTAAGTTGCATAGTATTATCCAGGCTTGAGAAAATATGCCTTTGAAAAAAACAAGGAAAAAAAAAATAGTCAAATTTATTTCTTTTCCATCTTTTTTTGTTTATGTGTGTGTGTGTGAAGATTTTGCTTTGCTTAAAGGTATTACAAAGTTTTGGGAAATTCTGAGAATTGGCTGGATAGTGATTCTTTACAATTTTGAAATATTGGGATGCCCCTGTGGAAGCACTATAAAATTTAGCCCCTAAAACACTTCTGCTTTCGAGAAAAATTGAATATCAAAGAGCACCGGTAAATTTCGATAATTTTCAAATAGCGCCTACGGCCATACAATGGTACATGTAGCTGCGACCATGAAAATCTCAGAATATGTAGTTGTGATATATAATTTCCAAATGGGAATAGCCAATCGGTCGATTTTAGTCAAGAAACATTGTTTTAAAGCAAAATTAATATCTTGACCTTGAGAGGGATATACAACAAAAAGAGTTTATTATTTACAATTTCATCACTTTAGACTATATAGTGCTGTAAGTCAGACGCTATGTTCGTGTTCGGTTCGGTTCGGCAGAGTTCGGCAATTTTTCACCCGAACTTGGTTCGGTTCGGGGTTCGGTAATAATTAATAGCAAGCAGCGTTATAGCCACGGCGGTCGGCACTGGGCGGGCGGGCTGGCCCGCCTGCCGGGCCCGACCAGCACGGAGGACTTCTGCACACTGCTTCCGACCAGCACGAATCTCATATTAAAAACTGCTCTAAACATAATTATTTGCGAAGAAAAATACTACTTACATTCGTATTTCCGTCTTGAATCATGTTTTATTTCAATTTTAAAAGAATCATGTTTTCAATTTGTCAATAAATGATATTTTTAAAGATTTTCCGAGACGGTTGTTGTCTAATGTTAGAGTCATGAAAGCTGCCATCTTGAATAGAGACTCATGCAGGCTCGTCAATAACTGTTTTTGTAAGTTTTTATTTTCAATAGGAAAAATATAAAATCCCTATTTTTCCTGAATAAATAAATACCATACTATGATATATATTTATTCATTATTTATATTGTAAAATTTGTCCGATATTGTTACAATTAAAATATTTTTTTTGGTGAATGGGTTTGAGCTGAACTTGTTTTAATTTGATCACGCACATGTATTCTTGTTTATGGCTTGCGATCGCGACGTAGCGTGGTCAGGATTTGGGATTTAAATGGCACCAGTGAAGTCGCGCCCACCACTGGATAGGCATAAATCACAAAGGCGGAAAATGGGAAAAAAGTAAATATAAAATGAGCAATCATGACATGAAAATTAGGTACAAAATGACAAGTTTATTAGCGTGCAAAAACGTTTTCATTTTTCTGCCGAACATCCGAACCAGGCCTTTGTGTTCGGTTCGGTTCGGTTCGGTTCGGAAGTGCCATGTTCGGCGAACTTCCGTTCGGTTCGGCGGTTCGGCTACAGCACTACTTTAGACTCTATTTCACGACGATCACTGAATATTGTAGGATCGCATATGTTTCCAATAATTCATTTGAACCATATTCATGACCCCATACCAAAACTTTGTAATACCTTTAATAAAACCTTCAGCTTATTTTAGAACAAAGAATAATGCTCAGTAAGTCAACATAACTACAGGTATAATGCTCTGTCCAAAAATGTTCCAAAGTTACAGTGCAATGACAAATTCTTCAAAGCAATGATAAACTCTCCATTCTTTTGGTTTATGGTTCCAAACTTGATGCTTCCGCGGTCTCCAAGGGTTTAGGGTCAAAATGATCTTTGAGTTTCATAATTATCTCGTCAAATGAACAATCTCTCGGCTTTATCGGTGCCAACAAATGACTGATAGTTCTGTAGATGTCGGGTCCAATTTCTGTCAGAAGAATTGCCTTTTTCCGTTTCTGTGTTGCTGTGTCAGATTCTGAAGTTTCAACGATGTTATTTGCCTTTGAAAAACAGTTCCATTTTCTCTTGGTACGACGTGAACGGCTCGCGAGCTTTATCGTAGCTTCCCAAGCAACCAATATAACCACTGAGCGCCGCCATCTTGTTCTACCAGTTCGATATGTGGGTGCGTGCCTTGCATGCACGGTGCCTGGTAAACGATGTCGGGTGTGGCTGCACTACACACGTTCACTGTATGTAGTGTACATGTACGGGTGTGGTGCTGGTGCGGAAGATCGACCCACACGCAAAATTTTTCCAAGTTCTGTCTACAACTCAACGTTATTTAAAAATAGGATATATATCTCCATCTAAGACGTTCTACACTCATCCTCTTAGCAAAAAGGTAGAGTTTTGAGTCCAATTTCAGCATCCTCGTCGCCAATTTGTAACGTACGTAGAGAGATAAACATATTCAGCCTTGACAAGAGCTCTGCCAGTTCAAGTGTGTGTGTTTTTATGCGCTAAAGCATCACCACGCACACATCTTTACATACCATACATGAACCTGTTATGCTAATCGTAAACATACATTCATGGAATGCTAGTACATGTACATTTCTATGCAAATATACAACAATCATTATCGTCATCATTTAACGTCTATTTTTCCACGCTGTGGGGTTGGGCATTTCATTTTGGTATATAGTGGCCCTTCTCCAAGCTTTCCAGTCTTCGGCATCCACCTGAAGGAAGCCAGATACCTCTCACATCTTCTTTTCCAAGACAAGGGTTCTGAGCCAGCAACTAGGAAATTCATTGCTTTCTGTAGCCAATGGGTTTTCCTCTGTCCTAACCACATGTCCATGCAATCATACCCATCGTTATTTCCTGTGAAATTTTTGTCAGTCCTACAGATTGTAAACCTTATTAACATATTAATAACAGGTACATTTATATACCGGTAGTGCAGCTACTATAGGAATATACTCTACTGTGCTTAATACAAAGTATCATATTATTACCCCGGTTGTAGCTGAGCAGCCATAATTAAGGCGCTAAAGCATTCAAGGAATTTCTTCCTACTGGATATCCATTTACCTCACCTGGATGAAGTCAGAGATTCAAATGTAGATTAATGACTTGCCAAGGGACATTAGTGCCACGGCAGGACTTGAACCCTGAATCACAGTCCAATGACGTATCCTCTAGACAACGACACCTCTATGTATTCTGTATGTTCATAATCTCTATCTTTCATCACCATCCATCCCTCAGTCATCCTGATCTAACGGATACACGTCCAGGGGACACCGTTCTTGCCTTGCTGCCATACTTCCACTGCTACGGTTTGGTAGTCATCATGCTTCATGGGCTACGTAAAGGGGCCAGACAGGTCACCATGTCACGATTTGAGCCGGAAGTCTTCCTAAAAACCATCCAAGATTATAAGGTATTTTACATATATGTTACAAGGCAATGACGAACAGTCGAGCTGTTCGCAACGCCGAGTCTCTCTCTCACTCTCTCTCTCTCTTTCTCTCTTTGCATTTAGTGCCCGGTTTTTGAGTCCTTCACACGCGGAAGAATACCCCCCTCTACTTTTTTCCCAACAGTCACTGGTAGTCCTCAACAGGAAGAGACACAAGAAATAGCTGCCCTCCAGCCATTCCTATTTTGGAGTGTCTTTTGGCTGTCAAACTAATGCCACAAGTCCTTTCTTTGTTCTGAAAACTTCAGTGTAAAAATACATGTATATACAAAGTAGACTGTATAATTTCCTGATTATTTGGCTGGAGAGATTTCTAACTTTTGCCGTAAAAGGTTTGTCTAAGGAGGGGCACATGCAAGAAGGAGGGAAGGCTCAGAAAATGGGTTACCAACAAAATGATAAGTCTCAGAGGTACAGCTAGTGACAAGAGAGAGAGAGAGACAATTAATTTATCAAATACATGGCTCTTTTTAGAGGATTAATGCAATAACGCAACATAAGAGTAATTGTAATCACCTCATCCATTTAATAAATGTTAATTGTTATTGCCATACATAGTTGGAACCACTGCCTTGTGGTTCAGGTTCTCTGTAGAATCTAAGGCTAAGGGAGCTAAGCCTAACAGAAAACCATGCCACCGTGACAGCATTGAGGTCGCGATTGACGATATAGAACTCCCAACATCATTCGACCAGTCACTGCAGGATCTAGTGGTTCACACCCGTCTAGCTGGCTTAATTGTCCTCACCGGTGTGAAACTGCCACCAGTTCCTCGAGAGAGTGTCGTTAGTAACTTGCAAGAGCTACCGGTACTTACCCACCTTTGCAAACAGCCTTCATGAAAGTGAAGGCGGTCATTGTCGCTTTGCGACAGACAGCTACTACTACCGCAGTACCAGCAAAAAACCCACAAAAAACAGATCCATTTGATATTTGAGTACCGGCCCATGCAGTTGTTACAGCCTTGATTGGGAAACAGGGCTTTTACTAGAGCAAGCAATCATGTATTACTGTATTGTAAACTAATAAAATAAACTCTTGCCAATCAATCACTGAATTAAACACCTTACAAATCACTGCCAAACTCACAAGTCCTCTTTCCAAAGTCTCTACTATCTCATGCCCACAGAGCTCTATAAAAACACCTCTGACACAGTGTAAGTCCAGTCCAGCTCTGCTTCAGTTTTATTCTCTCAGGCTGTACATGTGCTTCATGCAAATTATATTCAAATATAGCACAATAGGATTTAAGAATATTCATAAGAAAAAGGAGAAGAGAACCAATGATAAGTAAGAAGTGGAAATATGCAAATGAGAAGAGAACATACCACCTGTTCTAGCTTTCAGAGTTGGTTTGTGGTGGAGATGAATGGTGGAGATGAATGGATGAAATGAATATGCAAATGATGTGAAATGAATATGTATGGGGTAGAAGAGACTAGAGAAACAAATAGTAATTGTGACAAATAAAAGTAGGGAATGAGTCTAATTTTAACTCTTACAGTATGACTAATTCCCTGTTATCCATTATTGACAATCAGGGCATTGTCTTATGAAGAGTTTATATTAATCGCAACTTCTCTGCAATTGATATCAATCAAAACTGTACATAAGAGAAAGAGGACTGCAAACTTTTGATTGATTTGGGTTGATCGCAACTCTTATATATATTATTCCTTGGACCAGCTGCCTTCAAGATGCTTTTGAGTTATTGTGAATAACAGGTCAAAGGTCACAAGTTCAGCTGTGATGTAGTTATTTCAGCATAATTTTAAACTAAGGGGTGCTCCATTCTGAAGCTGTCCACTAAATCCCCTGTTGCGATATATTATCTTGTAAGTAAAGCCCCTTTAATATTAAGTTATCAACCCCCCCCCCCCCACCCCTTTTTTTTCACTCCTTCTGAACTTTAACCTTTGCTCATGATACAGGTCAATCATCTGTACCTCGTTCCTCCCATCATGCTGTTCCTGGCCAAACACCCAGTGGTTGACAAGTTTGACCTTTCATCCGTCAGTCTGATCATATCCGGGGCCGCTCCTCTAGGGGGCGAACTAACAGCCAGTCTGAAAACAAGACTAGGGATCAAAGTCATCAAACAAGGTAATATATTTTCTGAACTAAAGAAATAAATGAATAAATAATCCTGTGTGTGTGTGTAGGCCTAATTGGGTTTTTACAGACGTGTATCAATCAGATATGATTATTTATGTCTGGGGACCAACCTTTAAACGTCACCATCCGAAATACGTGACTCAGTTTTGAACCTGCGGCTTCAGCTGAATCAGTTTGTAACGTCCATTGTTAGCTGGATTACAGGCGCACGCCACAACGCCTAGTTAATAATCCCAGAGACATTCTGTAATACCACTACTCACTACAACTACTACTACCACTACTATTACTTTCTACTACTACTATTATTACAACTACTACTACTACTATTTCTACTTCTACTTTTACAATTGCTACTACTTCTACTACTACTGCTCCTACCACTATTGTAACTTGTTCAGTTTAATTAAAAAAGGTAGAGATAAATGTTGTAGGTAGGTGTGTAAATCAGACTTATCACTGTATTCCATTAAATATTTGCAGTATGAAGAAAAGCAAATAATTACACAACAAAAAATCCTTCATTTTATATTTGTTTATCAATAAAATAAGATTTATGGCCAAAATAGTCCATTCTGACTTCTTGCCAAATAAAATCAAATGAAGAAGAAGAAGAAACTACTGCTACTACTTCTAATGATTGTGATAATATAAAGATAGGTACTTTTTGTATGTATGTGTTTTTTATTGAATCATACCAGAATCAAAATATTTGCAATTACTTTGAAGAGTCATTGAAAATCAAGATTAACACAATACATAAAATATGACAAATAAATATTATGTAGAAATCACCAAAACTATATCACCAAGGGAACATTGGGGAAGCAAGTCCAAGAACCCTGAGTGAGACCAACGCGCACCCCCCCCCCACCCCCCTCATCCGAAGACCTCAAGCACCGCCAGGCCAAGGGCTCTATGAGACAGACTCAATTACATTCGGCCCAGTTTGTATAAAATTGTTATATTATAGGGTTTGTTCATGGCTATTCCCTGTTGTTACCCTTGCCTTTCATGTACAGGTTATGGTTTGACAGAATCTGGACCTGTTTTGACCCTCTCCCCGTCCTCTACGGACGTTCCGTCTAGCGTTGGAAAGCTCCTACCAAACACAGAGGCAAAGGTAAAAAGAAGGATTTAAATGTATATGTGTCTTTAGTATTATCAGATCTGGGGGGTGTTTCACAAAGACTTTAAGTTGGACTTAACTATGGCAGGCCATTCATGCCACTGTTTGCTCTCACCATTTACTGGCATTGGTCTCTCGAGGCACGTATAAATCATGGTCGCAAATCTACAGAATTTGTTTAATAGTTCATTATTGAAGGAAAAAATTCATCTAAAGATCATAATTGAGAGACCAATATAGTGAGAGCGACCAGTGGCATGAATGGCCTGTCATAGTGAAGTCAACTTAAAGTCGATCTTAGTCTTTGAGAAACACCCCCCTTGGTAGGCCTATTACATGGAACACTACAATCAGTTTGACAATCAATTGAGGGGTTCTCTTTTCTACATGTAACTTCAAGACTTCTAAGCCATATAAAAACTACCTGTTCACATGCTTTTTTAGTTTACCTCATCATTGTTCATTATTCTCTTTTTAATGAACCACAACTTCCTCCTACCCTCTCTCTCTCTCTCTCTCTCTCTCTCTCTCACTCTTTCTTCTTCTTCTTCTTCTTCTTCTTATTTCCTTCTTTTGTTTGTTATTTGACTGATCCAGAGTAACCATTCTCTATCTTGTTTATATATCCTTCCTGCATGTTGTGGATCCCATGTCAAGAGCTTTGCTTGGTCAAAAGCAGGATAGCTATCTCTAGAAATATTTTGAGGTTTTCATCTCAATTCAATTTACTTTATTTAGGTTGTGGATACTGTAACCAGGAGCATTGCTTTGTGAAGATCTGGGTCCTATTTCATGAAACTTGATATCAATAACAAGTGACAATAATTGTTATAAGCTACTGAAATCTTTGCATTTGATTGGCTGTGAGCAGATTCGTCATTGATGATAGATCGGTGGCATTTTTTATTAATAACAGGGCCCTTGGTCCTATTTCATAAAACTTGTTATCAGTAATAACTGCCACAGACCTACATTTATGACAACTCTATACAAAGCCAATCCAATGTAAGGTGTAAGGGTTTCTTGTTATTGATACCAAGTTTCATGAAACAGGGCCCAGATCTTCACAAAGCAATGCTCCTGGTTACAGTATCCACAACCTAAATAAAGTAAATTGAATTGAGATGAAAACCCCAAAATATTTCTATCCTGCTTTTGACCAAGCAAATCCCAGACACGGTATCCACAACATGCAGGAAGAATAAAGAAACAAGATGGACGATGGTTACTCTGGATCAGACTTCCTTTCTCTGGATGCCTTTAAAAGGGCATTGAAGGAAGCGTCCAACTGATGGCAGCACATCACTGTCCACGTTTTTAACAGCACATCACTGCAGTGCGTAATCTTCATTGTATGAAGTAGCATTTACCGAGGAAGAAGAAGAAGAAGAAATAACAAACATAAGATAGTTAGCTGAAGACATATTTGGGTAAGAATTGTTCATCTCCTTTGTATTTTCTCCCTGTAGGTTGTGGATACCGTGTCAGGAGAATTGCTTGGAGAGGGTCAGGATGGTGAGCTCTTGTTCAGAGGACCTCAGATCATGCCAGGTTACCTCAACAATCCTGAGGCAACAGCAAGGACCCTCGACGCAGACGGATTCCTGCATACAGGTTTGGTTTAATAGTCGTTGTGTTTCCATCTTTCATCTTCCTTCGCATTAGTAATCATCTTGTTCTTCCTACTTCAAGCTTTCCTTCCTCTTCTTCCTTCTGTCTGAGATGCGCTCCTTCTTCCTTCCTTCTTTTTTCACTTCTCTTTCACTCCTCTCATCTTTCTCCCTATACTTCTTCTACTATCCTTCTTCTTCTTATTCTTCCTTTTCTTTTTCTTCTTTTCTTTTCCTTCTCCATCCTCTTCTTTTTTTTCCCTCTCTACTCTTTTCTCTTTTCCTCTCTCCTTTCTTTTTTTTTTTTCTTCTCTTCTTTTTCCTTCACATCTTTTTCTTCTTCTTCTTTGTTGTCTAACATGTTTGTTTCATCTTCTTTTTCTTATTCTTCTTTGTTGTCTAACATGTTTGTTTCATCTTCTTTTTCTTCTTCTTCTTTGTTGTCTAACATGTTTGTTTCATCTTCTTTTTCTTCTTCTTCTTTGTTGTCTAACATGTTTGTTTCATCTTCTTTTTCTTCTTCTTCTTTGTTGTCTAACATGTTTGTTTCATCTTCTTTTTCTTCTTCTTCTTTGTTGTCTAACATGTTTGTTTCATCTTCTTTTTCTTCTTCTTCTTTGTTGTCTAACATGTTTGTTTCATCTTCTTTTTCTTCTTCTTCTTTGTTGTCTAACATGTTTGTTTCATCTTCTTTTTCTTCTTCTTCTTTGTTGTCTAACATGTTTGTTTCATCTTCTTTTTCTTCTTCTTCTTTGTTGTCTAACATGTTTGTTTCATCTTCTTTTTCTTCTTCTTCTTTGTTGTCTAACATGTTTGTTTCATCTTCTTTTTCTTCTTCTTCTTTGTTGTCTAACATGTTTGTTTCATCTTCTTTTTCTTCTTCTTCTTTGTTGTCTAACATGTTTGTTTCATCTTCTTTTTCTTCTTCTTCTTTGTTGTCTAACATGTTTGTTTCATCTTCTTTTTCTTCTTCTTCTTTGTTGTCTAACATGTTTGTTTCATCTTCTTTTTCTTCTTCTTCTTTGTTGTCTAACATGTTTGTTTCATCTTCTTTTTCTTCTTCTTCTTTGTTGTCTAACATGTTTGTTTCATCTTCTTTTTCTTATTCTTCCTCTTTTTATTCTGCCTCTTCTTCTTTGTTTTCCTCTTCCTCATTATTTTCTCCTTACCTCTCTTATTGTCTGATTTTGTGTCTCCAGACCCTAGTTTGATGTATGTTGTGGTGATGATGTCCGACTATCTGCACTAGTTTGGCCAGGAGGGATTAGACCTCCCTGCATGGTCACTAACAGGTGGTTACACTTATGTCATCAAATCTGCCCTCAAATAACTTAAGAAAAAGGGGACCGTGGGGGACCAATGGTCATGGATTAGGCATTGTTTGCTATACAGAGGGTGCTAGTAGCTATAAGTAGTGCAGTGGGGCTTTAAGAGTTAAAGTCCGCGTATTAATTTCAAGAGCAATTTTGGATGTGTATAGGATGTGCATATTGTTCCATTGTACGCCTTACACTAACACAGAGTTTTATTTTCTGCAGGGGACATAGGCCACTATGACCAAGACGGTCTCTTCTATATCGTGGATAGGCTCAAAGAACTTATCAAGTACAAAGGTTATCAGGTAGGCAATTTACTTTTACTTCCTTTCCCGCTTTCACCTCTCTCGGTCCACGTTTTGCCTCCTTTCCCGCATAGCACCTACCCCTAACTTGAATCTCCTCCTTGTATCTCTCTCTCTCTCTCTCTCCCCCCCCCCCCTTCCAAATGTCCATCTATTTCTCGATTCATCTATTCTTCTATCCATCCATTTAAATGGGTTAATTCATCCGTCTGTCCATCAACCCATCTATCAATCCATTCTTCCATCCATCCATCCATCGATTCGTCTATCCACCCATCCTGCCATTCTTCCATCCTTCCATAGACCCACAAATCCCTTATCCATTCCTCTATCAATCCATCCATCGGTCAGTCCATCAACCCATCTATCAATCCATTCTTGCATCCTTCCATAGACCCACCAATCTCTTATCCATCCCTCTATCAATCCATCCATCGGTCTGTCCATCAACCCATCTATCCATCCATTCTTCCATCCTTCCATAGACCCACCAATCTCTTATCCATCCCTCTATCAATCCATCCATCGGTCAGTCCATCAACCCATCTATCCATCCATTCTTCCATCCTTCCATAGACCCACTAATCTCTTATCCATCCCTCTATCAATCCATCCATCGGTCAGTCCATCAACCCATCTATCAATCCATTCTTCCATCCTTCCATAGACCCACTAATCTCTTATCCATCCCTCTATCAATCCATCCATCGGTCTGTCCATCAACCCATCTATCAATCCATTCTTCCATCCTTCCATAGACCCACCAATCTCTTATCCATCCCTCTATCAATCCATCCATCGGTCTGTCCATCAACCTATCTATCCATCCATTCTTCCATCCTTCCATAGACCCACCAATCTCTTATCCATCCCTCTATCAATCCATCCATCGGTCAGTCCATCAACCCATCTATCAATCCATTCTTGCATCCTTCCATAGACCCACTAATCTCTTATCCATCCCTCTATCAATCCATCCATCGGTCAGTCCATCAACCCATCTATCAATCCATTCTTCCATCCTTCCATAGACCCACTAATCTCTTATCCATCCCTCTATCAATCCATCCATCGGTCTGTCCATCAACCCATCTATCCATCCATTCTTGCATCCTTCCATAGACCCACCAATCTCTTATCCATCCCTCTATCAATCCATCCATCGGTCTGTCCATCAACCCATCTATCAATCCATTCTTCCATCCTTCCATAGACCCACTAATCTCTTATCCATCCCTCTATCAATCCATCCATCGGTCTGTCCATCAACCCATCTATCAATCCATTCTTCCATCCTTCCATAGACCCACCAATCTCTTATCCATCCCTCTATCAATCCATCCATCGGTCTGTCCATCAACCCATCTATCTATCCATTCTTCCATCCTTCCATAGACCCACCAATCCCTTATCCATCCCTCTATCAATCCATCCATCAGTCAGTCCATCAACCCATCTATCAATCCATTCTTGCATCCTTCCATAGACCCACCAATCCCTTATCCATCCCTCTATCAATCCATCCATCGGTCAGTCCATCAACCTATCTATCAATCCATTCTTGCATCCTTCCATAGACCCACCAATCTCTTATCCATCCCTCTATCAATCCATCCATCGGTCAGTCCATCAACCCATCTATTCATCCATTCTTGCATCCTTCCATAGACCCACCAATCTCTTATCCATCCCTCTATCAATCCATCCATCGGTCAGTCCATCAACCCATCTATCCATCCATTCTTGCATCCTTCCATAGACCCACCAATCTCTTATCCATCCCTCTATCAATCCATCCATCGGTCAGTCCATCAACCCATCTATCCATCCATTCTTGCATCCTTCCATAGACCCACCAATCTCTTATCCATCCCTCTATCAATCCATCCATCGGTCAGTCCATCAACCCATCTATCCATCCATTCTTGCATCCTTCCATAGACCCACCAATCCCTTATCCATCCCTCTATCAATCCATCCATCGGTCTGTCCATCAACCCATCTATCCATCCATTCTTCCATCCTTCCATAGACCCACCAATCTCTTATCCATCCCTCTATCAATCCATCCATCGGTCAGTCCATCAACCCATCTATCCATCCATTCTTGCATCCTTCCATAGACCCACCAATCCCTTATCCATCCCTCTATCAATCCATCCATCGGTCTGTCCATCAACCCATCTATCCATCCATTCTTGCATCCTTCCATAGACCCACCAATCTCTTATCCATCCCTCTATCAATCCATCCATCGGTCTGTCCATCAACCCATCTATCAATCCATTCTTGCATCCTTCCATCCATCTATTCACTCATCCTTTCAGCCCCCCCCCCACCCATATATCCATCCATCCTTCCATCTATCATTCCATCTATCATTTAATCCTTCTATCATTTAATCTTTCTATCCATCTCCTTCGTCTCCAGGTTGCTCCTGCTGAGCTGGAGGCTCTCCTCACCCATCCCTCCATCACGGATGCCATCAATTAATCCTTCTATCCATCTCCTTCGTCTCCAGGTTGCTCCTGCTGAGCTGGAGGCTCTCCTCACCCATCCCTCCATCACGGATGCCATCAATTAATCCTTCTATTCATCTCCTTTGTCTCCAGGTTGCTCCTGCTGAGCTGGAGGCTCTCCTTCTCACCCATCCCTCCATCACGGATGCCATCAACTAATCCTTCTATCCATCTCCTTCGTCTCCAGGTTGCTCCTGCTGAGCTGGAGGCTCTCCTCCTCACCCATCCCTCCATCATGGATGCCATCAACTAATCCTTCTATCCATCTCCTTCGTCTCCAGGTTGCTCCTGCTGAGCTGGAGGCTCTCCTCCTCACCCATCCCTCCATCATGGATGCCATCAACTAATCCTTCTATCCATCTCCTTCGTCTCCAGGTTGCTCCTGCTGAGCTGGAGGCTCTCCTCATTCATCCCTCCATCACGGATGCCATCAATTAATCCTTCTATCCATCTCCTTCGTCTCCAGGTTGCTCCTGCTGAGCTGGAGGCTCTCCTCCTCACCCATCCCTCCATCACGGATGCCATCAACTAATCCTTCTATCCATCTCCTTCGTCTCCAGGTTGCTCCTGCTGAGCTGGAGGCTCTCCTCATTCATCCCTCCATCACGGATGCCATCAATTAATCCTTCTATCCATCTCCTTCGTCTCCAGGTTGCTCCTGCTGAGCTGGAGGCTCTCCTCCTCACCCATCCCTCCATCACGGATGCCATCAATTAAACCTTCTATCCATCTCCTTCGTCTCCAGGTTGCTCCTGCTGAGCTGGAGGCTCTCCTCCTTACCCATCCCTCCATCATGGATGCCATCAACTAATCCTTCTATCCATCTCCGTCTCCAGGTTGCTCCTGCTGAGCTGGAGGCTCTCCTCCTCACCCATCCCTCCATCACGGATGCCATCAACTAATCCTTCTATCCATCTCCTTCGTCTCCAGGTTGCTCCTGCTGAGGTGGAGGCTCTCCTCCTCACCCATCCCTCCATCACGGATGCCATCAATTAATCCTTCTATCCATCTCCTTCGTCTCCAGGTTGCTCCTGCTGAGCTGGAGGCTCTCCTCCTCACCCATCCCTCCATCACGGATGCCATCAATTAATCCTTCTATCCATCTCCTTCGTCTCTAGGTTGCTCCTGCTGAGCTGGAGACTCTCCTCCTCACCCATCCCTCCATCATGGATTCCATCAATTAATCCTTCTATCCATCTCCTTCGTCTCCAGGTTGCTCCTGCTGAGCTGGAGACTCTTCTCCTCACCCATCCCTCCATCATGGATGCTGCTGTGATCGGAGTTCCAAACGAGGAGGCGGGGGAGCTGCCTAAAGCTTTCATTGTGCCAAAGAACCAAGAACTGACAGCGGATCAGGTAGCAGAGTTTGTGGCAGGTACATGATCTTGTAACATATTATTCTATCTTTCAAGACAAACAAATTATTGACGGTCAAGGGTGAAAGGGGGAGGGGGGGGGGGGGAACCTAGTGTAGTGGTCCACCTGCATATCCCAATGAGGGGATTGTAGTATGATAGGTTATTATCTTGATCTTTACATTAGTGAAAGTATGTTAAATTGTCACAACAAATTAAAAAAGACAATTCATATATCATAAATTAATTTCTTAATAAATGCATAATATCATCAAAACGTTCCCAAATTCTCACTCGTCTTCGAAATCCTTTAGCAACAACGCGTATACCCCGGCCTGACGGGCGGCCTCATGTATGTGTATATGCCATGCACTACATCAGCTTGAAACCAGCGAGATTTGGGGGATGCCCCGGTTTTTAGTTTTTTGGGCGACGGCCGTCGCTTGTTTTGAGGGGGGGGGGGGGGGGGGGGGGTTCTGGCACCTAAAGGCAATACTACATCTTTTTTTTGTTAGGCCTAATTGTACTATTTTTGGAACTTAGGGATGCCAGACCAAAGGGGTATATAAATGCTTCATAAACAAGTATTAAGTTCTGTATTCTGCTGATTCAGCTCGGCCTGATTCTTGGTCCAAAATCACATTTTAAAGGAAATCTTAGATCTCAGACTAATTTCCTTGCCTTAATCGAAAGCTCGGTTTTAATTTTAGCAGAATATGTGCCTTAGAGACATAACAGTTTGTCATATGCGCTATACAAGAACTGCATAAATATATTTTCCTTCTTATATCCTTCCAAATTTTTTTTGACTTCCAGACAATGCAGCCCCCTACAAGAAACTAAGGGGTGGAGTGGAGTTTGTGAAGTCCATCCCTAAGTCAGCTTCGGGGAAGATTTTGAGAAGAGTCCTCCGAGAAAAAGAGGCCAATCCTGAGCAGGCCTAAGGTACCCTGATATAGCAACAGAAACCAACATGCAATAGTATAGCCATATTCTCCATTGTGCCATATGTAAGAATATTCAAAACAAATTTTACCATATATGGTGACCCAACATTTTCTGCAGTTTTAGAAAAATATTCAGGATACAACTCGTAGATTGTGATCAAATTTAAGTTTATAGAATTAAAGTCTAGATATATAGAAATAAGTTAGACATTTTACTTATGTTAGAAACTTACTGTAGAGCACAATAATCTTGTGGATAGTGGTATCTGTTTTATCTGGTGTTTGTGTATACATTATACTGTACATGTTCTAAGCATTGGTTTGTAACCAAATATTTTATTATGCAAGGAAAGTAAAGTAGAGATTTAGATAGAGTGTGACAAAAGTTCACTGTGACATTAATCTACTGTGTGTGCCAATAGTTGACCAAAGCGGATGAAGAGTTAACGACTAAGCACCTTAGTCACAATGCCAAACTGACTCCATACTTCCTCTACACCCAATGACTCTTGTTTCAATTCAATTCGTCTATTTTAATTCCAGCAAATACATTAAAAATACATGAAATACATACAGACATATACAAGTTTTAAACTATATAAATATATATACAGTATAATACAGTACAAATCTTGTTTTAACTGTTTTATAGGAATTATGATGGCCATACATAAACAAATGTGGGTTTTGTTGAGACGGCCAACTTAACAAAGTATAAATGAAATCTATTGCAAGACATGTTCGACATAATTTGAGATAATTATTCTCTTTGTTTATTGGAAGTATTGTAATTGTTTGCTTGGTCTACGATTGGTGTCATTGCCGCCTAAGACTGAGATATGTAATATGCAAGTCAAGTATATCTACATGTACATGCAGATCTGTGTTGACATGCAATGCCCATTGCACACGAGGCGTCCATTGCCAGACGTGGCACTGCAACTGATGCGCCATGTGACGGTGACATCACACCAACAAAATGATCAAGTGTACAATCTCTTATTGCTGTTAGTATACATGTACTACATATATGTCAAATATACTCAAAGAAGAATTATTTCTTCAAGTAAAACTTACATTATTATCGACCAAATTTCCTATGGCTGACATTATTATGAATAGAGGGTGTTTAAAATATTCTACATACCGGTATATGTAATGTATGTTTCTTGTTTATTCCAAAACTATTCCATTTTTTTATTATTTAACAGAGACTTTTAAAAGTTTTTTATATATAAATAAATAAGTGTAAGTGTTGTGCTATAAATGGCTGATAATTTTATTCCAAAATGAGAGGCTTTTTCAACTTTTATACAATTTCTACATGTGTATACGTGTCCATGTAGTTTTGAATATCTATTAAGAATTCTATGTGTCTTGTTTGTCATACTATATAAACATGTCTTTCTATAATCACATTCATGAATATTGCCTTGAATATTTGTAATCATGTGAGGCACAAACTTTTGTAATAAAATATGATACTATGATAAATCCCTATCTTCTTGTTTTATTTGGTGAATTGCGTGTGCCCTGTTGGCCTATAAAGAAATATAACATTGGAATTATGCTAAACAAAACAGATGATATAATAATTCAAATTGGTCTTGTAGGTCCTCTGCTATGCACTTTAGAGCAATAGGGTTGGCATTGGATTTAGGATAGGGTTAGGGTTAGATTTAGGATAGAGCTTCATGTTAGGATAAGGGTTAGGACATGGTTTAGAGTTAGGATAGGGTTAAAGTTGTTTATAAATATTTTTAGGTCTACACTACAGTATTGGAATAGAAATATAATAATAAAGCAAATTGATTTGTTGACACTAATAGAAACTGGATGATATAAAAACTCATTATGCTCGGAATTTGTCCTGTACCAGTTTTGGAAGGGAACTGAACATTTTTTATCTTCTGCCCCCGCCCCATGCAATCTTGTATCCATGATGACCCTATCCTCTCCATCACTCAGGAAGATGCGCCCCCTTCCTCCTCTTCAAACTGATGATGATGATCCGTCGATGAAGAAACTTGGAGAGCAGCCAGGAGCTAGACGACCAAAGTTAGGAAGGAGGATGAATTCAATCTCATTTGGGGGGGGGGGGCTGAGAAGCAACACCTCTTTTATTATATATTATATTAGTTATATCCACTAACAGAAAAATCTGTGTAAGGACAAGGAGACTATAGAAATGTAGTTTTTGTAATTATACGATATAGGTGTCTTTTATAGGGGGGGGGGGGGGGCTGAGAAGCAACACCTCTGTTATTATATATTATATTAGTTATATCCACTAACAGAAAAATATGTGTAAGGACAAGGAGACGGGGAGACTATAGAAAGGTAGTTTTTGTAATTATACGATATAGGTGTCTTTTATTGTGTAAATAATTACTTTCGAACAGAGATAGACACTGCATGTTCTGGTGGGCCCGGGGGGGGGGGGGGGGGGGTAATTCTGTAGAAAGACGGTAGTAGGCGTGATTTCACTCTTATCATGGGGGTGTAGAAGAGGGCATGCAGAGAAGAGGGCTTCAGTTAGAACGGAGAGACTTGGGATCAAGAAAGAGAAAAGATGGGAGAGGGAGATAATTATGAGGGAGAGGTCTAGGAGATGAGAGAGAGATTGGAGAGATATACTGATGACAAAGAAATGAGAGAGAGATGCTTGAGACAGATAGAAAGAGAGATAGAAAAAAGAGAGAGAAAGAGAGAGAGAGGAATCCAAGAGAGATTGGAGAGAGATGCTCGAGACAGATAGATAGAGAGAGAGATAGAAAAAGAGAGATAGAAAAGAAAGAGAGAGGGAGAGAGAGATGGGAGGGAGAAGAGAGGTAGACGAATGGAGGCAAGATGATAGAGAGAGAGAGAAAGAAAGGAAAGGAACCCAAGAGAGATTGGAGAGAGATGAGGAGATGAGAGAGACAGACATACACGGACTATAGACTTGGTAAGAAGATGAGAGAAAGATGTGAGATGGGAGAGACTTAGAGAGAGAGAGACAGAGAGACAGAGAGAATAGGAGAGAGGTGGGAGGGATATGGGATGAAGATGCGAGAGACTTTATAGTTTATTATATAGAGATGGGAGATTACGAAGAGATATGAAGAAAGACTGATGGGAGAGAAATAAAGACAAGATTATAAGGAGCAAATCGTCAAATAATGAAACAAAAGATAGTGTTCATTATAGCGAGTACACTTCAAAAAGACATCAATTTTGAAAAAATGAACAAAAAGAATTGTCAACTGAATTTCATGTATTGGACACAATTATGTTATTTATTCCATTCTTTTATTTTGTTTCATTTTTCTTTCTTTCTTATTTGTTTATTAACAAAAATAATAGTTCCTTATTCTGACAGAGTTCACTCTATTCATTGGTTTCAGGATAAAAAGATAACTTTATACTTATTGAAAGTGGTAGATAAATATGACTCAAAATTCTGAATGAAGAATACAGTACTAATATATAAAATATAAAAAATATAAAAAATATATCTTTCTATATAAAAAAAAGAAAGAAAGAAAATTAAACAAAATAAAAGAATGAAATAAATGAAATAGTTGTGTGCAATCCATGACATTTCTGGGAACATGGAAACTGCTCAAATATTCAATCCTGAATGATAAACGCCTATAAACCAAAACAACAAAAAATATTATTATAATTATAATAAAAGTCCCCATTTTGCTTATCATAACTGCTTCACTCGTCTAGTCTAGTCTACGTCTCCCATAGTCTCCCAAATCCCTCCCATCTCTTTCTCTCCCAGTTTCCTTTGTCTTTGTCTACCCCCCCCCCTCTCTCTCTCCCTTACTCTCTCTACAAGACTCTCAAATCTTTCTCACGGTTTCTCTTCTTCCCATGCATGACCATGTCTATAGTCCATGCATGTCTGTCTCTCTCTCACTCTATCCAATCTCTCTTGGATTCCTCTCCTATCTCTCTCTCTCTCTTTCTTTCTCCTAGTTCTATCTCTCTTTTCTTTGTCATCAGTACATCTCTCCCATCTCTCTCTCATCTCCTAGACCTCTCCCTCATAATTATCTCCCTCTCCCATCTTTTCTCTTTCTTGATCCCAAGTCTCTCTGATCTAATTGAAGCCCTCTTCTCTGCATGCCCTCTTCTACACTCCTCCCCCCTCCCTCATGGTAGAGTGAAATCACTCCTAACTACCGTCTTTCTACCAAATCGGAACCCCCCCCCCCCAAGAACATGCAGTGTTTCTCTATGTACTAAAGTAATTATTTACACAATAAAAGACACCTATATCATATAATTACAAAAACTACCTTTCTAGTCTCCAGTCTCCTTGTCCTTACACAGATTTTTCTGTTAGTGGACATAATTAAATTTCTTAACAGAGGTGTTGTTGCTCAGATCAGCCCCCCCCCCCAATGAGATTGAATTCATCATCCTCCTGACTGCTCTCCATGTTTTTTTCAACTGATAATCATCATCATCATCATCATCAGTTTGAAGAGGAGGAAGAGGATACGGTCGTCATGGATACAAGATTGCATGGGGCCTTCTCGACAGGGGGGCAGAAGATCAAAATGTTTAGTACCCTTCCAAAACTGGAATGCGACGTAACAAAATGGATATTTCACACTATGTCTGAAAGTTCAAACTGGGATTTGGTCTTCTTTTATTGTAGCTGTGTTTTGCCCTTTATTGATGTTGCGTCAATTTCATAGAGCTTAATATTCTGGAAAGTCTTTGTATCTGTCTCTTAATGATAGAAAACTCTGAACAAACATTATAAATTTAGGCTACCATTACATATTTTCTGACAATATTACTAACAATTTATGAATCAATAGTTTTCATGTTAATTGATCATGCCCTTGCTTGCATATTTTCCAAACTTCAGAAAGTGAAATGACAAGTTTAGCAATTTTACCTCATCTTTGAGGCAAGACAGACCACATACTAGTTTTATTTATCAATAATGGATTTAGCCCAGGGTGTTTCATGCATCTTTAAAAATTCTAAGCATAATGAGTTTTTATATCATCCAATTTCTATTAGTGTCAACAAATCAATTTGCTTTATTATTTAATTAATCCAATACTGTGGACCTAGAAATATTTATAAACAACTTTAACCCTATCCTAACTCTAACCCTAACCCTATCCTAAATCCAATGCCAACCCTGTTGCTCTAAAGTACATAGCAGAGGACCTAGCTACAAGACCAATTTGAAGTATTATATCATCTGTTTTGTTTAGCATAATTCCAATGTTATATTTCTTTATAGGCCAACAGAATACATGCAATTCACCAAATAAAGCAAGTAAGAAGATAGGGATTTATCATAGTATCATATTTTATTACAAAAGTTTGTGCCTCACATGATTACAAATATTCAAGGCAATATTCATGAATGTGATTATAGAAAGACATGTTTATATAGTATGACAAACAAGAAGACACACAGAATTCTTACTAGATATTAAAAAACTACATGGACCCGTATACTCATGTAGATGCTACATATGTCGAAATTGTATAAAAGTTGAAAAAGCCTCTCATTTTGGAATAAAATTATCAGCCATTTATAGCACAACACATACACTTATTTATATAAAAAACTTTTAAAAAGCCTATGTTGAATAATAAAAAAATGGAATAGTTTTGGAATAAACAAGAAACATACATTACATATATGTAGAAAAGTTTAAACAGCCTCTATATTCATAATAATGTCAGCCATAGAAAATTTGGTTGATAATAATGTAAGTTTTACTTGAAGAAATAATTCTTCTTTGAGTATATTTGACATATATGGACTCAGAGGACTGCAAAGCAAGATCCATACCAAGGCTGGCAGATGCATCAAGATTGGCTGCAGACAGAAAGACTTGGCATACCATCACCATACAGAAGCCATCACGAGGCCCCTAGCTGGCCTGCGTGGACGGCATAAGTCAAGTAAGTCAATATACATGTGCGTCCCAGAAAAAACGAAACCGAGAAGTATCGATGTTTTATCATAACTTAATCACAACCATAATAAATGAATGATACATATCTGGAAAGCTTAGAGTCTCCTCTTTCAGTTGATGCTACTCAGATGATGCATATTTCACGCATGAGTGATTACAAGTAATTTGAAGGAAGGAAACCAAAAAGACATTTGGCGGGCGGTATCTGAATTTCGAAGAAAAATTCACATTTCCAGAAAGTTGAGTTTCTGCCCTTTCATATGACACCTCAATCAGGAAAAATGAGCGAGGAATAACAAAGTTCTGTTTGTTTAAAGTAGCCCTTACATTTTCATAATTTTAACAAACGAATTCGTTTTCACTGGTTGCCTCCGTTTCGTTGACAATAAGCCATGCATGAAGACTCTACGGCTACGACTCTACGACTCTACGGCTGATTGCGTTTAATATCTCTCTTGATATGGACGTGTTTTTCGCGAGCTCCTGAAAAATGCACTTTTCTGCAGCCAAATAATGGACTCAAGGAAACTTTTTATACCAAACTGA